GCGTTTCATGGATCTCGATGATTCTCACGTAGTTTTACAAGATGGATAATTCATATCCACGCGAAAAGTTTCTTCGATAATAATATTTTCAAGGAAGTATTCTCTCTTAAATTTGTTTCGGATGTGAATTTGAATAAATTAATAAAAAATCTTGATAATTGAAAATGTGCGTATTGAATCAAGATCAAAATTTATAATTTGGTAAATCGAATAAATATTAATCATCAAGAAGAATAGGAATTGTAAATAGAAATTGGAAGAGTCGAAGATCGAACGATAATTTATCGAATTTCTGTCTCGAAGTCAGTCCACGCTTTTCATAGATAGGTCATTCAGTTTCGCAATTGGATTAAACTGATGAATCACGGCTGTTAAACGCTGTTTACGTTGCGGATCACCGTTCCTCTTCTCCTTTTTCTTTTCCACTTCTAGGAAAGATATTAACCCACGATATCTTTTTTCTTATTTACGAAGAAATGTATTTCAAATCTTGTTTCTTTTTTTGAAATACAATTTACAATTATATATACAGATTTCTTATAATAAATTCTTTTTAATACAGTTTTCCAAGATATGTGTACAAAGATGTATGGAATCTTATATCAACTTCATATATCAACTTTTAAAAGTTACTTTCGAGATGAAGTATTATGGTAAAAAATAAAATTTGCCCAATACTTCTTTTCGAGTACCCCGTGAACCGACAAACTTTTAGATAAAGTGGAATTTTTCGAGAAAGTCCCTTTTTCCATTTGTAATACACCTTAAAAGAACTTTAAATCACCTATCCTACGTGCCGTTCGTGACTTATAAATTTATTCCAATCTTTCAAATACTCTTATCACACAATTATCACAATGTCCAACTTCAATCGTCAAACTTCAAAAACCCAAAAAATATTTCGTCAAAGATGAAAACGTTACAAAATTCCTCTTCTATCTACCATCTTTTTACCAAACTTCTACTCTTATTATCCTTCTACTATCCAATGAAAAAAATCAATGACGATAATTAAATTATATTTGGCACAATCTTCGGAACAATACTCGAACGAGGATGAATAAAAATTTAAAATATCCGTATCTTTTTATCTACTTGTTGGAGACACAGTTAACAACCACCATATTGTTCTATATATATATATCTCTTGATTGCTCCAGCTATAATATACTTTAGAAAAACTCTAAATCACTTATCCTGGCGCCGTTCCTTTTAAATTTATTCCAATCTTTCAATACTCTTATCACACAATTATCACGTGTCCAACTTCAAAAACCCAAAAAATATTTCGTCAAAGACGAAAACGTTACAAAATTCCTCTTCTATCTACCATCTTTTTATCAAACTTCTACTCTTATTATCCTTCTACTATCCAATGAAAAAAATCGATGATAATTAAATTATATTTGGCACAATCTTCGGAACTCGAACGAGGATGAATAAAAAAATGTCCATTTAAAATATCCATATCTTTTTATCTACTTGTTGGAGACACAGTTACCACCATATTGTTCTATATATATATTTATCTCTTGATATCGAACAGCATCATCATCGAACGATGTACCCGCCGCGATGAGGGATGAACGGATGCGACGTCATTGGTGCTCGTTCGCGATGATCTATGGTAACTGATAATGAAAGCATGGAAGGTGAGATACGGCTGGGTTGTACATAAGCTACAGTTTCCGCGGGATTCCCGTCACCCACGCCACCCCACCAGTTTCCTTCTGCCCGACTCTGTATGCACCGCACGATAAAACCTTGAATTATGAATAACGGTTAATTCACCGATTCGTATCGACATCGATACGCCGGTGCACGAGATTAGATGGAAGCTCGTGACGCGAGCGGAGATCGAAACGGAAACGGAGGCAGAGCACGATAACGAGGTACGATTATGGATGGATACCGGATGTGCTCGATCGTTTTCTGCTCGAGTTCGAGAGCACACTTTGGAGTTCGAGAGCACACTTTGGATTTCGAGGACACGTGCCTCCGATATTTTAAATTATCCATCGATTTTAAGTTTCAATTTATTTTTTTTTTAGTTATTCGTGAAACAACGTTCGAGCAACAAATGTAATTCTTCTTCTTCTTTTTCTTGTATAATTATCGAGATGATAATTTATTCTTCTTTGACTTATCGGTCAAAAAATATGAGATTAAAATTGCCTTCTTCAAGTTTCAAACGAGACAAGATTAATCCACGACAATCATCTTCGTTCTTTCCATCGATTATATCTCCGCCATTCACGGTCGTCGATTAATTTGATAAATTTCCTAAACCGGCCATTTCGCACCTCTCATTGCTCCCTCAGCTCTGTTTATTCGACTAACTTCGTGAAACGTAAATCGTGTAAAATCCAATTAAACGGATTCGATTCCCGATGATCGAATAATACCCGTTTAAATCGTATCGAGACCTCAGGTGTACCTAGCAATTTTACACGTGGATGGTTCCAATGGCGGACGGCGAAATATCGATTTTCCCATTTGATCGAGCCAAGAAACGAGCGTTCCCGCTTCGACGAGGGAAGAAAGTTTATCGCGGAACAAACGGGTCATAACTCGCGGCCAATTTATTATTAAATGGACGAGGCGCGCAACTTGGACGGAAAACACTGGCCGCCCTTGTGAATTTTAATTCACAGGGAATTGAATTAGTTGGAGTTGTGGATAACCATCAATGGAAAAACTCGTGCAAAACTTTTCTAAATGGGGATGGATGAGCACAACTTGTTCTCGAGATGTTCGATGTGTTGTGCGTATGAAAAAAAGAAAGAAAAAATCGTGTATTCCACTTTAGGAAGGGAATATCGAGATGAAATTTCGGAGCAAGGGTTAAGGGAAAGTTTTTGAAAAAATTTTGTCCCTCGCTAATTCTCGAATGGATTCATCCATCTCGAAGGAGATGTGACTTTAAACGTGATCTCGTTTCATGTTCGAACATTTCGCTCGATCCTCGTTATTTGTTTTAAAATTTGATTATCAATCAAATTATAATTTTATTAGATCACTGAGACTGGTATATCTATCCGTTTGGTAATTGTATATGATTAATTTGAATTAATATCTCGCTGAAATTAATCCACCATTTATTTTGTAATCCTGTAACCGAATTCCCTCATTAAGAAACACGAGGTGAGATAATATTATTTTCACAAATAGCACGATCGCTCGTCAAATATACATAAAGCAAAAGATAAATTTGGAAAATTTGTAATTTTCTTGTAACTCAATTTTCGAAACATCTCTCATCGATCTATCGAAGATTCGATTTTTTCCAGACCAGAGGCGAACAAAACTTTCGTCACAACGTTGACAAATTCAATTAGATAACGGATATATATATATATATATAAAAAAATATTCGAAATTGACGATATATAATAATAATAAAATAATAAAATAATATTTCCACATCTCTCTAACGTTAATGGGCCAGGTTAACGATCCGGTTAACAGGTTTATCCACCATATTTTTCCGGTCCCAAGAAGGAAGCCAAGGCAGATTTGGTCTGGAAACTTGGTCGCCGCAACTTTCTTACAAACCGATGAGCTATGGAACCGCGCGACTAAAAACTCGTCTGAAACTCGGATTAGGGATCCAGTTTAAAAAAAAAAGAGGGAGAGGGAGAACAGAAACTTGCTTGCTAAAAAAGAGACACGAAGTAGTGACACAGAAAGAGACGCACACACACGCACACAATTTCACGTAAAAACAACTACTATGATCTTTGTGTATATATATATAAATTGAATGAAAACACGAGTGGAACGAAACGAGAGACAGACACATCGGTGGAAAGGTAAAAAACGAGAAAGAGAGCGGAAGAGGAGCGGGGTGGAGAGAGAATCGTCCGAGAGGAAATTTAGTGAAGAACAAAGCGGAAAATCCGGCGCGTTAAAGATAAAGAGCTAAGCGGAGGAGAAGGAGGGGGACGAAAAGAAAGATCATAAAACGGAAGGTAGGGATGCTGGGGGGAGGGAGGGTGAAAAGGGTGAAAATAGTGGAAAAAGGAGGAGCGGCTTTGCAGATAAAAAAAAATGGAGGGAGGAGTGGGAAGGAACAGAGTTGCTAGAAGGGTGCGCTAAACCCGAGGGAAACGGGCCGGGAAAAGCGCATCGGGCAAAAAACCTCGAAGAGAAAACAGAGAAAATGGAGGAGGAAGAGAGGAGCAAGGAAAGTTGACAGAAATGAAGGAAGAAAGCTGGTGGAAGGACACCGAATGGGTCCCAATCGCAAACAAACCTTTCTCGTTTTTTAAGGAAGGGGTGGAAAAAAAAAGAAAAGAAAAGAAAAGAGAAGAGAAAAAGCGAAGGGAAAACAGAGTAACCGTGCACTGGGGAAAAAAAATTGGAGGAAATAAGACGGTAGTCGAAAAAAAGAGTAAACAAAAGAGTTCTACTGGACTAAAAATAACGGAGAAACGGGGACGACAAAAAGAATAAATGGGAAACGAAGAAACAGAGGAGGAGTCAAGAAACACGACTGTTGCGGATACACGGTGTTCAAACAGGGATTCTCGAATCTCTGGTGGAAACGATTTAACCGACGCCAGGGATATATTAATAATTATACGGATAGACAAACTTTTCGACGAGGGGCGCAATGACACCGCCCCATCTTTATTACTCCAGTTAGAGGGGAAAACGGTTATTATACGATCGACGAAGATCGTGTTTCCATGGAGTTTCCGTCGACACCGTTTACGTTCGTCGATTCGAAACGAGATCCCGGTATCTCGATCCTGTTAAGATCTTTCTTCTACTTTCCGGAAACGAAAACGTTCCAAATTGGAAATCGTAATCGAGCTTTCGCGGTAAACGTTTCGGTCTTTCGATCGATTCGTTCCTTCGAGAACGAGATTGTTCGCCGTGATAACAATTCGCGGTTTGTAAACTATATTTAACGGGTTAAAAATCAGGTGTCGTCGAAATGTTATGGAAACGTTGATCGATTTTTAACGATCCGGGGAAACGAACGATCGACTCACCTTAGTATTGTCATCTGGAAAAAACGTAGCTCATCGTTAAGTGAATTAGCCACAGGTTGAGGAACGCCCTGGAGACCCCGTTGCCGTCGTGCACCGCGGCCGGCAACTCCCCTGCAACCAAAAGAGGAAGGAAATTAAATTAAGTAACCCTGCTTGCGAACGTTTCGCTCGTTTGTTTCACTTCCTTGAATCGCTTCCTTCGACTTCATCTCTTTCCATTTCGAACAGTAAAAATAAAAATTCTCCATTCCCTTTCCTAATCGCGTTAATAATCCATACTCTAGAAAAGAAAAGAAACTATTTCTCAAATATTCTCAAGATTTTTAAAAAAAAAACCTCCCTACCTGTCGAAGCATCGGAAGAAATTATCCCTCAGATATATCAACATCACAGAGTACATTCGAAGCTCTCTCTCCTCTCTCGCGAAAGTATCAACTCCCTCGTAAATTAATCAATATCAGAATCCAGGCGTCGAAATATAGGCATTTTCAACGAAGCCTCGCAATATCACCCCTCCCCCCATAAATCCACAGGTATCGAGGAAGCCGATCGATCGAAGCCAAGTCGCCGATTTCGAATTTTCAACGGCGGAAACTCGTGAGAACGATCAATGGAGCAGGAGGGGAGGGAGGGAGGGGGTTGGCGAGCGCTCTTCGTTCGAGAGAAGCCGCGATATCATGGACTCGCGTAAATCAACACGGTCGAATATATATTATTTTTTCCGCGTAAAGCGTGGGGGTGGAGAAGGGGGCTGCCCGTGCCGCCGACAAGAACACATTTGTCATTTCATTAATGGTTGTTCCGTTCTATAGGTTTTCTGTCAGGCACACCCCGCCACAGCTTGACGTATTTTGGTGGCGTCCGTTTAATCGCTCTTCGACCGAGTTACGTTTCCTGGATAATAGTTGGGGGAGGGAGGGAGGACTCTCTCTCTCTCTCTCGTGAAATTAGACGCTCCTTATTAATGGATTTTCCACCGTGGGCCTATCTCATCTCTCTGTTTATCTCTTAACTCCCTCTCTTCTCTTGCTTGCTCGTTCGTTCGTAACGCGAGATGCGTCTTCGAGGGAAAGTTTGGTCCTCGAGTGTTATCACGGAGAATGGAATGGTGTACGAGTCGGTTCGTTTATCTTAGAGAAATTTTCTTCTGGGGAAGTTTCGAAAATTCATAAATATGTATTGATGTTTCTTTTTTTATGTTTATATGGAGCATTGAGAAAGCATAGAAAAATAGTTATCTTTTGAAACTATGGATTATCGATCATTAGAATACCTCAGAGACAGAGTCTGATAGAAAATGTACTTCCTCTGATGATCTATTTCAAAGATTATCCCTTCTCTTTACGAAAAATCGATCAAATTTGTGTCCAAATATTCAGTGTTACTTGATAGAATATATTCAAATATATTCAATTTCGAATGCTAATTAAAAAGGGTTAATGCACGATCGAAGGTTATCAATTAATTAGTAATTAATCTTCGATTTTTCGTCGTTGAAAAATTAGGTTTAAGATCAGGGCGAATGAAATCTGGGATAATCATTTCAATGCTCTTCTTCCAACGAATAACATCTTTCTCTTTTCGTTCTTCTTTGTGTTGAGAATTTTTCATCTCGGTGTCTCCACGTGTCTGACGTGTCGCCGCACACTTTCATCAGGACCATCTTCAATCTTTCTTACACGTTCTCAACGTATCATCCTTATGGTTTCCTTCTGGAATTCTTTCTCTTCCGACGTCTCATTGGCCGCTTTGATCTTTCAATTTTTACCCATCTCTGTGACTGTCCTTCCAAGTTTGAGATTTATCCTTTCGATTTATATTTGTTTTATCCTCTCTGACCCCTCCCCATCCTTCTCCATTTCTGCATCTTTGCGTTTCTCTTGTCTCAACTACTTTCCAGCGCTTTTTTAAAACATTTCCTTCCACCACGCTCCTCTTGGCCCTTTTTAAATCTGTCACTCGAGCACTCTTCTCTCAATCTCACTCGAAATTAAATTGTTAAAACAAGAATCTCATTTACTGTTCTTAATTTACATTCATACATAGAGGAAAAGAAATCCATTATTTCTATTATTGCATATAAATTTTTAAATATTGATCCAAAACACAATTTTCCTCTTGAGTTCTTTCTCATCTAGCGATTTCTTTTTCAAATTTATTTTTCTACAAATAATTTACAAGTTTTGAATTACACATAAGAAATAATGGATCTCTTCCTTCCCAACGTCGTTCATTCATTTTCCACCTTTCTCTTTTTACTCTTTTCGAAATTCAAAAAGCAATAAAATTTAACGGGCAAATATACTGCGTACAATTTCAATATATCCCTCGCCACGAGGATCAAACAATCAATAGAATATTTAATAAATCATCGAAGCGGTAATAAACCAGCTAATTAACGCGGCTATCGCGCGGAAATTTGATGAAATTCCCCCCGTCGAGATTATTTCGAGATCGAGTTTCGATAAATAGCCGGGCAGGCAGTGACGTATATTTTTCGATATGGAATTCGTATGAAAATTATCGAATTATTCAGTCGTCACGATTCACTTTCGTTTCCGCTGTTCGGAAGACGGAAAAACAGATCGATTTCTCTCGATTCGTGGCAATTAACCGCGGTGAATGGCACTCTAATCAATAGACAACGAGGATTCACAATGGCCAATGTATTCATGGCTCGATTGTTTCGATTCAAACCACTCGGATACGTTTCCTGGCCTCGTGGACGCGCGGGTGCACGCTAGCAGAACTTCCTATTGCCCACTTCCTGCCGCCAGAGAATTCCAATCTCCGACTGGTCTCTCTCGCCGCCTCACATCCTCCTCCTCTTCTTCTTCTCGAATTTTCATATTTATGCGAGACGCGGAAATTAGAATTTTCGTTGCGCTTTTAAAAAAATAGTCGTTCGGATTCGAATCGAAGCATTCAATTATTTTGTGGACAGTGATCGAGGAAGAAGCAAAGGAAGAAACGTTGTTTGGACGAAGTATCGGACAACGAAGAAAAGGAATATTATTTCTACGTGTCAAAAACGATCAACACCTTTTCCTTCTCTGAAACACCTCTTCTCTAAACCACGTCCCACGCATGTATAATTTTTTCGGTAACACACAGGCCAACCTTTCTTTGCCCGTCTTAAAGTCGTTTGGTTAACTTCCGCGCGATGATACAAGCAAGTCTCAACTCCCTGTCCCATGTTCCTTGTTTCCATCCCTCGAAACCATTTCGTCGTCCTTCGAGTGTGTACCACCACCGTCTTCTTCCTTTATTCGAAAAGTTTGCAGCCCAGGCGCAGTTTCTTTGCCACTCTTCACCCGCTGCTACGTGCACCACTCCCGAGTTTTACTTCACTTTTCCGGCATTACGAGCAGTTTGTTGTTTGTCCGCCTTTGCCTTCTCCAAGTCCCCCCCTCCCTCCTCCCAGCTGCCGAGTTTTACTTCGCGCTAGTTTGTCGGCTTTTGTTACCGCGACGAATACTTCCTTTTATTTCAGTTCACGGACTTTCTTTACGCGCGATTCTCTTTAGAAGGGGGGGAGGAAGGGGTCAAAGAATCAACGTGCGCGTACATATTTATGAGTATCACTCCATTCTTCATTCCGATATTACGAGAAATTAAATTGAAAATGACCCTTAATTCTTGATCCCTTTACGATAAATTAACAATAGGTCGATCTTTGTTGTTATATAATTATGCATCCTTTTAAAGATAAGATATATAAATATAAATGTTTCGATGAAAATTTTCATTGGAAATATAAATATTTTATATTTCTCTCGATTTTTTACGCGTGTATTTTTTCTACATCCTTTCTTTCTCCCTCTTTTTCTCTCTTCTTTCGACAAAAGATCGATGCGGGCGGTTTATCATAGGTGGAACGGTGATAAACTTGTTAGAAGGGGCGGGTATGGAGCGGAAGGTCGTAGGTCAGAGGGGCCGTTTCGCCTCATATGTGCCCACACTTCCTGGAGACGGAACCCTCGTTTTGGAATCACGCAGCGGAATTTACTATTGGTCACTTCCTGGCCTCGTAACTCTGATCTCGAAACTGTGCCGCAAAGAGATATAGCCTTCTCTCGCCTCCTCTCCTCTCTCTCTCTCTCTCTCTCTCTCTCTCTCTATCGATTTTATCGAATATCGAAGGATCCGAAGAGCCGAGAGGCCATCCCTCTCGAAACCTCTTTAGAAACTCAAATTTAAGGTTATTGTATTCATTGAAACAGAATGGAACGCTTCTAAATTCCTGTCTTGACTCTCTTCCTGTTTTCGAAAGAAAACATTTCATTTTTTTTTTTTTTTAGACGAACAAAAATTAAAAATAGTCCATTCGATTCTTCAGAATTTTCATTGTATATTTTCATTATATATTTATCTAATGTTACAAGCGAAGATGAAAGAAGATGAAAGAGAAATTTGTAAAAGAAATATATAATGATTTTTGGAAGAAAACTTTCAAAATAATTTCGTTTCCTCTCGAAATCATTGAAATTTTAATAGAAATCTAATATTAGAGAAAAAAATAACTCGATTTAATTCCATCCCCCATTTCCAAAATCAATTAATCCAAATTGAAAATACCTTCACGATCGATAAAAATACAACAACAATCGTTTACTTGCTAGGAAAAAAGCAAGATTCTCGAAGTAAATCCCAGAGACACGGTTTAATCAATCGGAACGTACAGAATTATCGAGACCCGATGGCGGTAACTTTAGATTCACGTCTACCCTTTCATTTATCTCGTGGCAAGAAAAAAATCAAGAAAGAGAAACTAGTAGATTAAGTCTACGACACGGCAGACGTTTCAACGACCAACGTCATTCGTGGACGACAGATTGTCATCCCCTTTCATCGCGTGGAATAAACAAGTGGAGACGAGTTTCTGATCGAACTTCCCTTTCCTCTTCTTTTCCATCCATTTTTTTCTCCCTCCTTTTTGTCTTATTATCGGATCCAAGGCACGTATCCAAGACGTCACAAGTTATCTCTTCATGTGACAACACCACTGTCTTGTGATCATTTCTTCCCCTTTCTGAACAACGTATATCCCTATTTCGTAATCGAATACGAGCAACGGTTCGATACGATTCTTCTTCTATTTCTTTTTTATC